GTCTGAACCATTCATTGATTGTCTGGGGTTTGAAAAACAAACCATCACTTGTACAAGCTACTGCAAATGTGCCCGATTGATATTGAAATACCCCAAGACAGGTTTAGTGACACCTCTAAGTATCCAGTCTGGCTGCTCAGGCCCATCAGCTGTAAATTGACCTACAATTACAGGGTCTGCAGAGATGCACAAGGTTTACACGTAGACAATGCAAGAACAGGAGTCAGGCAATTAATAGTTATGGTGTGATGATAAATGTCTTTTCCTCCCTGTTTGTTTGGACTCTAATTGGCCAACTATCAAGGAAAAATGCCTTGAAGTTGTACAATTGAATAGTGTAAGAACAGAATTTGCAAGAAAAGTGTGCGCTCCAGGAGAAGCTGAGAGAGAGAGAGCAGTGCTGCATTGCACCCAGCTTAACCAGCAATGGATCCTGCTTGGTCAAAGTTGAAAGATGGGACCAGCATCCTTCACCAGCATTGGTGAGAGAACACTATTGCTGCTAAATATGTACTAGGACTTTGTGGAGTAGCTTATTTTATTTTGGGAAGGAGTCTTTTTGTCATTTGGTTTTATAAGCTTGCTTGTTGTATTGTTGTTAAAGCTTTTCTGCTGTTGATTAACCGGGTGTTGCGTCACAGCTGCTGCCACTGCTGTGTATGCTTAGATGCAGCTCTGGCCCTGCTCTGGCCTGGCAGTGGAGGCATTGGCAACCCAAGCTACAAATCTGTGTCAGGGTCAAGGCCTGGGCTGCAGCTGCTACTGCAGCTGCTGCTCTCCACTGTTTCCCACCTTGGTGTGGTCTAGAGTCCTAAACTGACAATGTGGGGCAGACAGCAGGGGGAATGAGGGGCTTGGGTACCACAAGGTGGGGAGGGCAGGTGGCAGGGGCACAGGCACACCACAGGGGAATGCGGTAGGGTAGGGGGCAGGTATGGGGAGACAACTCTCCAATAATTAGATTCTGTACATGGTAAATTATAACAACATTATATATTTTCCATGTGTAGAATCTAATTACTCGGGGGTGGGGGTGGTTTAAAATCAAAGTTATCTTGGATTTGGGTAAATATGGTAATTTAAAGGAGGAACAATGATCATTGCTGGCTGCCTGGTCTTTGTGACTGGAGACCTCTGTCTTCCTGGCCTGATGGACCCACTGGGTCGGTGTTGCCTCTTAAACAGTGATGCTAGGTAGGCCTTCAGCACTTGGGTCTAGGACCCGCCTGCTCACTCTGGGTTGATGTAGAAAGTTCAGGCTTAGCTGAAGCTCCTTCTGTGACTAAGGTTGAGGAAGAAAATCATGCCACTCCTGGGGATGGCCAATAAAAAGTGTCATGTAGTATGCATCTTCATAGTATGCATCTTGAAGACCTCAGTAGGATTTTCTTTAGTTGTGACTTACGAGGCGCCTGTGCATCCCAGCCAATGCCTTTGTACCTGGGTGGTGGTCAGACGGTGGCTCAGCATGACTCCTTTGTATCCTCTTCTCACAGTTTTTCTACCAACAGTCCCCTGCATCCTTGAGTACCCAGCATACTGCATCACTCTGCACCAGCATCGCCCCCACCAAGAAGATTGAGATGGACCGTACCATCATGCCTGATGGTGCTATTGTGACCACTGTCACCACCATTCAGTCCAGGCCCAAAGTGGACTGCAAGCTGGGTAAGGTCCGATTTAGTATGTGACTCTTAGACACGTTGCTGGTATCTGTAGTGAGAATAAAGCAGCTCTTAATTTCACCAGGCTTAGTCCTATAGCATGTGGTTAGCTTCTGTAGCTGTCAAATGCAGCAGTCCCTGCAAATGTGCTCCTCATGTAGATAATGAGAGGGGTGCCTGCAGCCTCTGGTGTGGGAATGGGATTATTGGCACTGGGCGACGCTGCTGTTCTGTTGTTGACATCATGCTGCGACTGGGAAAGTACACTTGGCACCCAGGGCCTCTGCTTCTTGTCACAACCCAAAGTTGTGGTTTTTTGTTTGTGTGCACTTCGGCGCCGCTAAATTACGTTCCTGCTAAATTGCAGCTTCTCTGCACGGTGGAGTGTTCTGCTGCAATAGGAGAACCCGCGTGCAAAAGAGTATTTCCCACCGTTTGTAGCCTTCTTTGCATGGTGCATTTCTTTTGCATCATGGTGATGCACGGTGCAAAGGAGTTCCCGCCATTTGTATTTAGATTCGTGCCACATTATTGGCCGATCCTAATATATGCACGCGTGGCGGCTA